CTCTCTCTCTATCTCTCTCTCTCTCTCTCTCCTTCCTCTGTCTCTCTCTCTCCTTCCTCTGTCTCTGTCTCTCTCTCTGTCTCTCTCTCTGTCTCTCTCTCTCTCTGTCTCTCTGTCTCTCTCTCTCTCTCTCTCTCTCTCCTTCCTCTGTCTCTGGTTGCTCATTTAGCCACCAAGTCTCTCGTACGTTGTTGCCGCTCTCACCCGTTCACCGCAACCCCATGCTCCACCCCACCCTCCCCTTCTGTGCCACCGCCGTCACTGTGACCAGATGGACACGCCGCAGGGCTTGACGGACGACAACGGGACGCTGTTTGACCTTCGCGGCATCCGCTCTGAGGAGCAGCTCAAGGCTGTGACGGAGGCCGACGACTTTGACGCCCTCCAGGTGCCCTGCAATGACGGCCCTCCGACAATCGCATGCAATCGCCTGCAACAGGGTGCTCTGTGTGTGTATGTGTGTGGATGTGTGTATGTGTGTGGATGTTCATGAGGGTGAGCCGAATGGGTGTACTCAAGTGTGCAGTGTTCATCTATCTTGTCTCTATTCTCACATTTGTGGTTGACGATTTGGTATTGTGCAGGATGGCCCGAATCCCGAGGAAGAGGAAGAGGAGGTCGTGACGGGCGTGCAGCCGCGCTTCATGCCGCAGCTCGAGGAGGAGGACTACCTGGTATGGCACTCACTCATGCACACTCAAGTGGCGCACAAGCACAAGCACACACATGCGCATACACACAAGCATAAGCACAAACACAGACATGCACACTCAGGCCCATTCTCACGTCCGCACACGCACACACACACCCATTCATCTCTGTTCCTTGGGTTTCCTCTTGTGTATGCGTGCGTGCGTTTGTAGAATGAACTTGAGGAGCAGCTTGACCAGCACTACAACAGTTATCTGGAGCGAAAGAATGTCAAAGTCAAGTAAGTCCCCTCTTAAAGAGCTCACGCTCATCATCATCATCATCATCATCATCATCATCATCATCATCATCATCATCATCAATTTCATCTCACAACCGTCCCATCATCATCCCCCCCCCCCCAAAAAAAAACCACCGCTACCACCAGGCACGTGCGATATGGCAAGAAGTCGACGACGATTGTCGGTGACGTTGCGGACGGCAAGGCCGTGATCACCGCAGAGCGCACATCAGATATGCGCAAGCTTGCAGAGACCGAGCACAAGAAGCGCATTCAACGCGCCTTGAAAGGCGATGACGCCAATGCTGACGGTGTTGAAGGCGGCGAGAGTGACGAGGACGTGGCGAATGCAGGCAGCGGTGACACGGTGCTTGTGCGCTCACACAAGAAGACAACGAGTGCTGCGGCGAACCGGTGGTTTGCCCAGGCTGGCCTTGACGACCTCGACCTCGCCGATGATATTGACATGGAGAGCGATGCAGAGAACACGTCTGGCAGCGGCAGCGACACGGGCAAGCGACGCAGCGGCGCTGGAGGTGATGCTGATGGCAGCAACGGGCCGGCCGCGAAGAAGGGCAAGAGTGGTGCAGTGGGTGATGGTGTTGACGATGAGAGCTGGGCGGAGGAGCTTGGGCTGCAGCTACACAAGGAGGACCTTGAGGACGTGTCTGACGTGTCGGACACAGAGGACGAGGAGGAGGAGAGCGGTGATGAAGACGGGGAAGGCAGGAAGAAGCAGAAGAAGAAGCAGAAGCAGAAGGATGCCGCGCAGCCAATGGTCCCCTCTGCAAAGAAGGCGGCGGGCGACGGCGCTGAGGAGAAAGAGGGTGTGTCTGCAGCTGCAACGGCCATGCGTGAGGTTGCACATGTGCTGAAGAGTGACACGCCCGACGCCGCAGCCAAAGGCGGCACGAGCGGTGGCGATCCGTGGTTTGACGATGACGACGAAGATGATGACGACGAGAAGGCGAAGAAGAAGAAAAAGGCGAGGAAGGCAGCGGAAGAGAATGCCTTTGAAGAGGTGCCGCTGGAGAAGCCCATGGCAGCGAAGCCGTCGCTTGATGCAGAGGGCCTTGCCCTTGCCACAGAGATGGTGGTGCGCAACAAGCGCCGCGCCATCATCGACCAGGCATACAACCGCTATGCGCACAACGACGGGCAGCTTCCCGCCTGGTTTGCAGACGAGGAGAACCCGCACATGAAACCCATGAAGCCCATCACGAAGGAGATGGTGCAGCAGATGAAGGAGTACGAGCGAGAGCTCAACGCCCGCCCCATCAAGAAGGTGATGGAGGCAAAGGCAAAGCGAAAGCACCGCCTCGTCAAGTTCATGGGCAAGGTCAACCAGCAGGCCGCCGTCATTGCCGACAACGACACACTCACAGGTGTGCTGCTGCAATCTCGTGTGTGTGTGTCTGTCTGTATTGTTGTTGTTGTTGTTGTTGTTGTTGTTGTTGTTTTTGTTGTTGTTGTTGTTGTTGTTGTTGTTGTTGTTGTTGTTGTTGTTGTTGTTGTTGTTGTTGTTGTTGTTGTTGTTGTTATTTGTGTGTTTATCTAGTGTGGCAGGTTTTTTGTCCCCTTCCTTCGTTTGAGCTCCCTCCATCGGTCCGGGCCTGCATGAATGGAGACCATTTGTTGTGACTGTCGTTCGCTTCCTCACCTCAACCTGCATCACTACCTCCGCATTCTCTCCTCCCGATCCGGGCGAACAGAACGCGAAAAGGTGCGGCAGATTGAGCAGCTGTACAAGAAGCTCCGGGCCAAGCGCAACCAGCACGAGCGCACAAAGCTCGTTGTTGCCCGCAGGTCGACAGCAAGCAAGAAGCCCACCAGGCCCAAGGGTGCGCATGTGTGTGTGTGTGTGTGTGTGTTTGTTTGCGTCTCGTGCTTGTGCGTTAACATGTGGATACCTGTGCATATGTGCGTCTGGCGTGTACCGTCTTCCTGCTTGCATGGAGATGTGCTCTTGATGGTGATCACACGCACTGCACTGTCATTCGCTTACACACTTACACACTTATACACACACACACACAATGCACGCGCACACTGTCTTCACATCGGGACGCACAGGTGTCACTGGGCGCTACAAGATGGTGGATCGTCGCATGCTCTCAGACAAGCGCGGTGAGGATAACGCTGCACGCCGCAAGAAGCGCAAGCAGAAGCGCAAGCACCGCTAATGATCACGCCAGACCGTGCGTGGCTGGACCCCTGGAGACTCTTCTGGTTGTTCTGGTTGTTGCCCGTGCGCGTCTTTGGTGCGCTTGCCTTGAAATTTCTTCTTGCTTTGGTGTTCTACGTGTGTTGCTGATCATAGCTTGATGTGAGTTGAATGTGTGTGCTTGTGTGTTTGTTCCGCTGTGATCTGGTGTGTTACTGCCGCCATGCTTGCTATTCGCTCTGTATCTCCTACTGTGGTTTGCTGTTGGTTGTACACACGACAACAGGTATGTCGTTGGTTGTGGTTGGTTGTGTGTTTGGAGTTGTATCGTAACTTTCGCATTGCAATGAATGCTTCTTCAACAACATTTCTTGCTGGAGGGTACCCGAGGCAATCTTGAGCTCGTCCATGGCTGGGGGGGGGTTGTGGAGTCAGAACAAGGGTTCAGGGACACACGTCGTCGTCAGTCGAGCGAAGGAAATGAGGGCAGTCGATGTGTGTGTGTGCGTGTGGTTGGCTGGCTGGTGGTGCTGGTTCGCCTTGTTACATTTGCCCGCGAAGGAAGAGGAAAAGGCACACACACACACACGTGAGAGAGAAAAACGAAGACTACCTAAAGATTTTTACTAATTTTCGACACGATAGATTTTTCGCGGATGGCTTCAACGAATGCGAAGCAGCAGCTCAAAGTCACGAGCAGATCCAACCACAACCTGCGCTGATGAGGCCGTTACGAAGGAGGGCTGTGATCGCAGCAGCCACCACCGCCACGGCGGTGCTGCTGTTGGGGGTGGTGTTGGTCGGTGGTGGTGTCGTTGTTGAGAGGGCGCAGGCCATGGAGAGCTGCCCGCTTCCCACACCAGCAAGGAACAGCGTGTCGGATGCGTTGTACGACCAGAACTACGTGTGGCTGCGCAACGTCAACGCCATTGACAGGAACACGCAGCGACCGACGGCACGGCGCAACACCACTTGCTACGTCTCGGACCGGTTCAAGTTTGTGTTCCACCACGTGCTGAAGAACGGCGGCTCAACGATCATGGTGCGCCTGAAGCTCGGGATTGGCGAGACGATCCCAGGCCACAAGCCCGGTGAGCCCTGGCCCGGTGACATGCACCAGCGGGGGTTCACATCGCACGACAAGTCATGGCTGCGCGGTATGCACTGCTCGAAGGCTGTGAGGGAGCTGCGGGACTACGTCCACTTCGCGTTTGTCAGGGACCCGTATTCTCGACTGCGCAGCATACAGGCATTTGCCACGCACCTGCGGCGACCAGCGCACCGTGCGTTTCCGCGGCCGATCCCGTCCCTAGACACGCTGGCCACATCCAGTGACCCGGAGGGCGCGTTCCGTGGTGCCACCAGCATGGGCATCGGGCATGCCATGCCGCAGTCTGGAGTGGTGGCGAGTGGGAGCGGATGGGTCGTGGACTTTGTTGCGGACATTCGCTTCATGCGGGAGGCGTTCCAGGACCACCTTGTCCCCGTGCTGAAGCAGAGGCTTGCTGGCACGGGCATTGACACGACGCCACTGGACAACTTTGCGGCGTACTTTGGCATGACAAAGCAAGTGAACGTGATGAAGAAGAAGGAAGTTGACTTGGAGGAGGAGGAGCGCATTCGCTGCCTGCTCTACAAGAGCCCCGTTTATCGCCGGGACTACGAGCTCTTCTACACCACGCACGAGCGCAAGCGACGGCAGGCAAGCCAGCCATAGTGAAATTTATGTTGTGTGTGTGTGTGTGTTCGTATTTGTATTTGGTTGGTTGATTGGTTGGCTGGGTGTGTGTGTGCGTGTGTCTGTGTGTCTGTGTGTGTCTGTGTTTGTGGTGTGCCACATCACATCATGTCCGTCTTCAAATTCATCATACATAAACAACTTCCATGCTCGACGATGACGTCATCGACAGCCTTAGAAGGGCAGCTCAGGTGCCCGGTTCTTTGCCGTTGCCCTTCATGCATGACTGTACACAACACGCGCGCATGCATGTAACTTTTGCACTGCCAGAGTGCCACTCAGCAACGTCCTAACGACGACGCGAGCGAACAAGCAGTCCTGCACACAGACAGTCCAAGCTGAAAGGGTGGTGGTGTGTCCTTGTGTCAGCGTTAAGGCACATGAGTATGGCACGCCGCTTCGTCGCTGCCGCGGCGGTAGTGCTGGTGCTCATGCACACAGCGGCACCGGCGCGGGGGATCCTCCCGCCACCGTGGGCTGGATGGTTCAGCAAACCTCTGGACAGATTCGCGATGCATTGTCCAAAGGGTGCATCTCTTTCGATGTTGCGCAGTCAATATGACCCTGACTACCACCCTGATGGGTATGCGCGTGTTTGTTGAAAGTGGGCTGATTGTGAGAGGCTGTGCGTGCGTGCTTGTGTGTGTGTGTGTGCGTGTGCATGCGTGCTTGTGTGCGTGCATGCGTGTGTGTGCGTGCATGTGTGTGTGTGTGCATGTGTGTGTGCGTGCATGTGTGTGTGTGTGTCGTAGTTGTTTTTGTGTGTGTGTCGTAGTTGTTTTTGTGTGTGTGTCGTAGTTGTTTGTGTGTGTGTGTGTCGTAGTTGTTTTTGTGTGTGTGTGTGTGTGGTAGTTGTTTGTGTGCGTGTGCGCGAGAGGTTGCGCGCTGCGTCTATGCGCGCGCGCGTGTGTATGTGTGTGTGTTTGCGTGCGTGCGTGCATGTTGTGCCCTCCTCTTCTCCGCGTATGTGTGAGAATTTGACTGAGGCCTCTCAAAGCTCGAATCGCTCACGCATGGTCGTTTCAACTTTGTGGTGTGTCGTGGCTTGCTCCTTCAACCTCATCAGAATCCCATTGTGGGTGCCAAACCTTGTCAAGGCTCGCCGATGGGACTTCTGGTGTACATGGGTGTCCACAGGCTCCACCCACTACACCAGGTTTCCCGCCGATCTCCTCACCATCATCGACAGATGGGATTGGATGTACTACGCATATGGCTACCCTTCTATCCAGTGAGTCAACCCGAGCATGAGCACCGTTGAGTACGCAGCCGCCTTGGCTCCAAAGGAATCTGCGCCCTGTTGTTACATTATCGCTTGCTGACAATTCTCCAAATGAACCCACAACGTTGCCACACAGATGGTCCGACATCCTTGCAGGGGAGGGAAACACAATCTTCGCTTGCCCAGATAATCAATGTGCGTGCGAAGACAAAGTTGCTTGGTTGCATGATTGCTGTGGGTGGCGCGTGTCTACACCTCCGCCCAATGCTCTTTGTTTGTTGGGACAGTCTGATTGACTCTGTGATCGAAAGCGATACCGTGGAGATGGCGACACTCACACACTTGATTTGTCGGCAGACGTGGCTGGTGTGAAGAGGTTGTTTGATGACGCCGAAGTGGCCAATTCAATCGACCCCAACGTGTACAGTACGCCCGTAAGGAGATACTGGCAGCTGCTGTGCGAACCCATCGAAAACGCCAAGCTCACCGATTGTCGAAGCGACATTGTGTTCGCGAATGACTACGAGGAAGAGCTCCTTTACGCTTTCACCGAAAGGGTGCTGACAGGTGAGCATTCATCAAGTGGAAGCCACTTCACTCAAGCACTAACCGCCCACGCACACACACACACACACACACACACACACACACACACACACACACACACACACACACAGAACACGTTGTGCGCTTGCAGGTTTGACACAACAGCACTCTCACGCACTTTGCTCCTTGTCATGTGCTTGAAATGGCCAGGGTGGCGCAGTGAATATGACGCCGACTTGCTGGATTCAAAATTCAAGGTGTGCACGCAATGCTGCAATGAGATGCGAGGTTGCTTGATCGCTCGATCATGTGGTGAATTGACAATGTACTTGTTGTGATCTGAGTGGCTTCTGTGTCGTCATTTCCAACTCACCGCCAGTGGTGTTCTTGGTGACTGGTTTGGATGACTTGGTCCTCCGCACCAATTCCTGGGTACTCGACGATGCCTCGCCAGTTTATCACCTGCAAGGTATGTTCCCGCAGCATGTGGGCTACCACACGACTGTTCAGCCACACACACACATCACTTGCCCATATGCATACTTCATGGTTTCACAACTGCATGCGCGCAGCGTTCTATTTTCTGCACATGATCGCCGCCTCTCCTCCTGGATTGCAGCTAAAGGGCTAACACGTGCTCACTCCTGTTCGTAGGTCGAGTGTGACAGGGACTCTGGCTTCAAACCAATGAACGAGCGCGAGTGCGAGTGTAAGTTCGTATCACCCACCCACCTCATACGCATCTAAATCAGCAACATGCAAATATCAAACAGCACCGCCACCCCATCTTGTTGTTCAGAGCTTGTGCTGAGACTGCTCGCCTTTTGTTGCCCATTGCACTGCAGACGTCACGTGTCCGTACATCACCCTGGAACACGGGAGCCACACCGGCTATCAGGGTGGTGCTATCGGTGAGCAACATGCATGTGCATGTGTGCATGTATGCAAGTATGTATGCAAGTGTGCAAGTGTGTCAGAGTGTACACGCGCGTATGGGAGGGGTGAGTGTGTGTGTTTGCGTGAGTGTGTACTGATGTGTGTAAGTGTGTGTGTGAGTGTGTGTCCTCACGTGTCATTGCAATAAGCGGGAACTGTTCTCTGAAGCAATGGTGGCATGTGTTGACCCAGAATATGCCCACTTCACGTTCCACTTCGCGTTCCACAACACCAACCATATTCACAGGTGTCGACTTCACATACGAATCCTGCGACGAGGGCTACGAGCTGTCAACCACCGGCGACAAGACGCGCACGTGCGGGTGGCTTGGCGACGAGCTCGTGTGGTCCGGCACCCCAAAGACATGCGACGGTGCGTGCATGTTGATGAGTGCGTGTGTGTGGTTTGTGTGAGCACCCATGCGGTGTGGGCTTTGGAGAACGCGTACAGTGTGCTAGTGCAGACTTGTGAATGTCAAGAGGCAGGTTCATTTCACGCTGTACATTCGCTCACGGTGCACCCCATGCCCTGTTTCTCCCACCATTCTCCTGTGGCGACTTTGTGACGGTTCTGTGGCCTTGCTACCAGACATTGACGAGTGTGCCACTGGCGCCCACAACTGCGATGGGCCATCAGCCATCTGCATCAACACGCCAGGCAGCTTTTCGTGCTCGTGCATCTACGGCACTTTGGTGGATGGACAGTGTGTCGGTGAGTACGGAGCAGCATTGTGGCACATGCTTGCCTGCGCGCACGCGTGGGTGCTTACAGCCAGTTTGATGTTGGTGCTGCAATGCTCTTTCTGCGACCCTCACAGTTACACCCTGCTGTTTGCTCTACAGTCCCCGCCCCATCCGTGAGCATGAGTGTTGGCGTGGCATCCCTGTCCTTTACCCTCTCTGGCCAATGGACAACCGAGTTTCCAAACTATCAGGTCAGCGCTGCAGGTGTCACGGCACGCGCACCCGGTTCTATCATATTGTGTCCACATTTTGTGTACACCGTGTACTTGAGAGCGTGTGCACACAGCTGCGAGTAGGGGTGAGCACGATTGTGATTGTGAGGGTCGCTCGTTCGCTTACCTGACGCGCGTGTTGTTTGCATGTGTGTGTGTGTGCGTGTGTGTTTATGTGTGCGTGGATTGGATGGCGTGCAGGTGTCTATTGGTCGCTGGGCATACGATCTGTCCGCGCACACAGACATCAACGGGTACCCGCAAGTTGTGTCCAAACCCTTTACCTCCCACGCCGTATCGAACCTGGCCCACGGAACTCGCTACAGGGTATGTTGGAACTGTGTTTCAATTCATGTGATGCAAACGTGCACATGCACTGGAACATCCACACACTCACAGGTATAATCACATCCACACGCACACATGTATAATCACATCCACACACATGTCCACATGCACACATAAACATCCACACACACACGCACACATACGCCCACACGCCCACTGACTCACGTCCACGCACCCCACCACCCCCCTATCCTCGTGAACCAACGAATGCTTTGCCTGCTGGTTTGCCAGGTCACCCTGACGCCGCTTGATGAGTATGATCAGCCACAGCCACACTTTGAGCACGTTGCGTACCACACCGGCACGACAGATCCGCAGACACCGTGCGGCTGCCAAGGCCTCTCTGATGCGCCTGTGGACTTCAATATGGAGCAGTTCAACGGGCACATCACGTTTGAGTGGAGGGACCGCAGCATGTGCGAGTCGGCCTTCACCTTCACCCGCAACGGCGTTGGCCTTGCCTCGCGTTTCGAAAGCACGGCCGAGGACCTTTGCGATGCGGCGTACAAGCCCCTCTCTCTCTTTGACGACCTCACCATCCAATCATGTGAGTCGTGTGCGTGTGCATGTGTACGTGTGCATGTGTGCGTGTGCATGTGTGCGTGTGCAAGAGATGGCATGTGTGTGTGCGTGTGCGTTAGAAACGTGCGTCTGTGCATCTGGTTCAGTGTACGTACTTGTGTCTTCGTGTGTGCGTGGCTGGGATCACCGTGGAATACTTTATACTTCTCTTTGCTCATCAATCACGTGGTTGTTTGTTGCCCATGTCGCTTCACTGTTTCAATGTTGATGCACGGCGACCACAGCCGGCAGCTTCGCTGAGCTCGACTCCTCCATCAACTACAAGCTTCCCGAAGGTAAGCACGCCACTGTTGTGCACACACAACAAGAACGCGGGACAAGCAAACGCAACACAAATAGACGAGCAAACGCAACACAAATGTTTAAAAACAATGTACACCAACACACACACACACCCATTATCCTACGTCCGCACTGCAATACCTCCCACACCTTGCGCTCACGTGTATTGAACCCAATGCCTTGTTCGTGTTGTGTGTATGTATGCTTGTTGGTCTGTTTCCGTCCAGGGTCCTTCTATCTCCGGCTGAGCACGGCGGTGGACGAGGGCGACATGCGCCTCATGTATCCTCACGAGCTGCAACGCCAGAGTACGTTTGATGAATGGACAGCAACGCAACCTTGGTCGCTCGCCTTGTTTGTAATGTCTGTTTGTACTTTGTATTCCTTGCTTGTTCGCTTGTGTGCTTGTGTTTTTTGGTCCACCTGCTCGCAAGCGCCAACCTGCGCTCAACTCACGCGCCACCACCAACACCGCCACATTCGCCAGAAACGCACTTTGCGTCCACCAGCACGACCACGACTGCTGCGCCGCTAGGAGTGCCCAAGGACGAGCACCGCTACTACCCCGGCACATCCTCACCGGTTGCATCCGTGACGGAGTGCAAGGACCTGTGCGACATCCGCTCCTCCTGGTGTATCGCCTTTGTTGTGCAGACCAAGACGGACGACACGCTTGTGTGCCACCAGCTGCGTGTTGTGCAGACGGCTGCCCTGAAAAGCGGCGAGAAGAAGGCCGTATCGTACGAGCGCGTCACCGTGTCCGGCACGGGCGTGTCCGGCTCCTACATCTTCGACGGCACGCAGGACGACTGCGAGCAGGCGTGTATTGACTCTGGCTCGTGTGTCCTGACCATGGTGGATGAGGGCGTGTGTGGGGTCATCAACAGCGCCGTGACAACGGGAACGCCGGCCACCGCCACCCACGCCAGTTTCCAGCCCGACTTCAGCCGCTTCATCCCCGGCCCAGAGGCAGGCAGCACGCAGAGGTACTGCGTTGCCGCCACCAACCCCACCTGGTACACGGAGGGCGGGTACAGCTCCCAGCTCGCGTGCAAGGACTTTGAGGTGATGTGGGAGAGCTACCTCGAGGGCCAGGTCACCATCGACTCGAAGGAGATCCACCTCCCTGTTGAGCACGTGGAGATTGAGTACGAGATTGGGCCCATCCGTGGCCGCCGCGTCACCAACGAGGACGGCAAGTTCTTCATCCACATCCTCTCGGACCAGCTGCGCGGCAACCGCAACCGCATGACGCTCCGCTTCTCCAAGACCACGGGCAACATCAGGCACACGTTTTCCTGCGGCGGCATTGCATGCACAGAGACCACGCTCATCATGGAGCACCTGCGCTTCGACCACCACGCGAGTGTCAGTGACACGACCTCCCTCCCCTTCAGTGGTATCGTCTCAATTGGTGGTACGGAGCACGAGGGCCTTCCTGACGGCTGCCCGCTCAAGGACGTCGAGGTGTGCCTGTACGACATCAACCAGGCCAACACCCTCATCAACTGCGATGTGACGGACTCCAAGGGGCGCTACCTCATCCGCGCCGTCATGGGCACATCTGTCACCGTCGGCCTCACCTATGGCAACTCGTCCCACACCTATGAGCGCGCGCCATACGCCAGGGACGCTGCCAACGCCCCCTCAGGCCTGCATCAGGTCATTGACGCGACAAACACCATGGTGCGTACACCGTACTACGATGTGACGGACGGCAAGTTCTGGGAGAACATCAACTTTAAGGACACGACCACTGACAAAGGTACCATCGACATTGCTGGTGGGCTGTGCAACCTCAACCTCGGCGATGCGGTGATGGAGTTCCGGTATGACGCGTGCCCAACGTGGGTGAAGACACACACCGTCTCCGACCGCCTGTCTGAGTGGACGCTGCCAGCGCAGATCATCACGGTGCGCTTCAAGGAGATAACGCGCAACTACGAGGTGCGCGGCGAGATAACGCGCTACTTCTCGGCCAAGCTGGGCAACTCGCGGTCGCTGTACTTGGACCTGCGCAACCCGCAGGAGGACGACGAGGACAAGAAGACGGTGCGGTTCGAGTACCACCCGCCACCGCAGCTGAGCGTTGAGTTTGACAAGGAGGTGAAGCACAACTGTAACAGCACAGAGGGCGATCGCCCCTTGCACGTTGTGAAGCAGAACGTGGAGCTGAAGGCGACTGTGAAGGTCATTGAGGACTATGGCGAAGGCGTGGGCACGTGCGATGCGGTGCCGGGCCAGATTGAGGTTGAGAACCAGTTGGGCGAGTCGCCGGCCATCGTGGACGTGCTCAACGCAACCACTCCGCTCTCTGACGACCAGCTGAACAAGCTCAAGCGCTGCTACGACACATGCATCAGGGACGTGAAGATGGACGAGGAGCTTGAGGATGGCGAGACGGTGTACTCCAACACGCGCATCGAGCTGAGCATCATGACGGGTGAGCCGGAGACCAACCCACAGGCCATCGACCCCGAGAACCCGCACTCCAAGCTCTTCCGCGTCACCATGCACAACCTGCCGCACAATCCCGTCAGCGTGTACGAGAAGGTGGTGGTGATTGGTGACAAGGTCATCTCCAAGTACTTCAGCGTGCCCTTCCCGCGCTACCGACCGCTTGCGGTGGTGCAAGATCCGCCCGGTGGCCTCTCCACCGTCACGTACTCCAAGGCGTACGCCAACTTCTATGTCGACACGTACACGCACGAGGTGTACAACGGGTTCTACACCTCGCTTGGCGTTGCGCCTGTCAAGGCCGGGGCAGAGACGCAAACCTGCGGCGGATTTGGTGCGATGCTGTGTGTCAAGTCATCGGACGTCGACACCACGCCCGTGTTTATCCGGACAGACTTGGCGATGGTGCGTGGCATAATTGGTACTGTTGTACGAGCGAGTTTCCATATGTACATGTGTGTGTGTGTGGATAAATGTGCGAGTGCGTACTTGCGCGTATGTACTTGTGTGAGTTGTGTGTGGCGTGACGTTCCAGTGAGTATGCCCCCTGGACCACTTGCATGTGAGTCGACATTTTTTGTTGTGCTGCCATGATATGATGGTGCACGTTGGGCTCAACGCCATTTGTGATCGCGCATGTGCTGCATCCTTTTCAGGACTGGGCAAGCGCCGATCCTGAAGACAACTACATGACGGGGCAGACGATGGCGTTTGAGATTTCGCTGACGACCTCTGACGATGTGATGACGGCTGGCGAGAAGTCGGACATGTTCCTCGTGCCCGCACTCAACGTGGTGTGGCTCGAGACGGAGGAGGTCTCGTTCGACGTGGAGCAGTGCCAGGCATCCAAGCAGACCAAGGTCAAGTGGAGCCTCGAGGGCCAGGACAACACGGAGGTGCTGAGCTGGGTGTCTGCGTTTGAGATTGAGAACAAGGAGATCCCAGACCTTCGCAAGCTGCTCGCTCTCGCCGAACAGCCGCCAGGCGATGACGACGACGAGACGGAGGAGGATAGAGAGGAGAAGGCTGCTGAGCTGCGGCGGGCGATCAAGGCGTGGGAGGACAACTTGGCGCGCAACAAGGAAGTGCGGCAGCAGGCGGCAGACGGAACGCTCGAGTCCGTGCAGGCCCTCATGTCCAACACGTTCTTCAACGAGTACCACTGCACGCCTGAAATACCGGATATGTCGCAGCATCCTTGGACTGACAGGAGATCTGCGGAGGAACTGAAGAGGGCAGCGTCAAAGGAGGAGCGGTGCAACTTTCTCGGCACTTCGCACATTGAAAACGACGTCGGCTTGGGCGCAGCGCTTGCCCCACACGACCTGATTGACAACGCACGCGACGTGGACGGCCAGGCTGCCTCGGATGCGGACAAGACGCAACTTCGCAGCATCAACGCAATCAAGTTCTCTGGTGGCGGCTCCACGTACACGTTTGGGGTGGACATCTCCAAGTCCACGAGCGTTGTAGCCGGCGACACCAACACGGTGGAAGCGACGCTTGGCGTGGAGACCAGCTTTGAGTTCAAGGTGTTTGGCATCGGCGCAAGCTTTGAAGGCGCGCTTGGGTACCACCACGATCAAACGAATGACGAGGAACACGAGGCAGGCGTGGATACTGAAACCCACATCGAAGTCACCGTGAGTTGAAGGGGGTGTTGTGGTGGGTGGGGGGAGGGGTAGTGGAGCACATGTGAGTTCATGATATTGGGCACTTGATGTCATTCGTGTGTGTGTGTGTGTGTGAGTGTGTGAGTGTGTGAGTGTGTGTGTGTGTGAGTGTGAGAGAGTGTGTGTGCGAGTGTGTGAGTGTGTGTGCGAGTGTGTGAGTGTGTGTGCGAGTGTGTGTGTGTGTGTGTGTGAGTGTGTGAGAGAGTGTGTGAGTGTGTTGTCGTGATGTCGTGTTGTTGAGTATGTGACCTTGTGCGAACATGATTCGGTGTTGTGTGTCCATTATCATGTTCAGATTCTATTGTGTTCCCTGCACACAGTCGAGGTTTATGCCTGTGCTCGTGTTGATTGACTTGACCGCATCCACAACCCGCCACCACCACCGTTTAGCTTGGTGACCCGGACCCCTTTGACGTGTTTGATGTCAAAATGTATCTGCACCCCGACTACGGCACGCTCGTGTTCCACACCACCTCTGGCCAGTCCTCCTGTCCACACGAGCCCAACACCGTGCAGCTTGAGCAGCCTGGCGTGAGCATCTTGAAGCGGCCAGAGGCGCCCGTGCTGCCTGGCGAACCCGCCGTGTTCGAGCTCCTGCTCAAGAATGACGGTCCCATGACTTCAGACTTTAACGTGAGTGTTGTGATTGGGGTGGTTGCATTTGCGATTGTGTTGATGTGTTTGGGCTTGCACTGCATGCTTGCATTGTGGAGATTCTTGTCTTGGTACGCTCAGCAGCAGTTGGACAGACACGTGTCCTGCACGTTCCCACATATTTACACTTTGTTCTCACAATCATCTCCCCTCCCCTCCTCCACTCCTCCGAACTCCGGTCTCCGTCCCGCCCCACAACATGCGCAGCTGTTCTATCTGTCGTGGCTGAACCAAGACGGCCTTGAAGTCGTGGCCAACGGACAGGCACTGGAGACGCCACTTGTCTTTGAAGGCTTCCCGGCCAACTCAGCAAGCCACATTGTCATCACCGTGAACCAGGGCCCCAACAAGTTCAAGTATGACCCAGTCGCCATTGGCTGGCGATCGCTGTGCGAGGCCGACAGGCACCCCGACAACGGTTACATCACAGACGAAGTAACGAGCGTGGAGTACGTGTACTTGGAGGCTGAGTTCCTGCAACCGTGCAGCCCGGTGAAGCTCGTTGGCGAGATTGGCGAGTCTGGCGCGTTCACCCTCAACCAGGAGACGATGGAGCAGGACTACAAGCCTGGCCAGATCCGCGTCGTTGCCTTCAACTCGGACCACGCCGAGCGCACGTGGCTGGAGGACGATCGCCTGGAGAAGGTCGTCATTGAGTACAAGCCCGCCAACTCGTACGTCTGGCTGCTGGCCCGCGATGAAAACGGGGATGCGCTGGACATTCGCGAGCGCGAGAACGAGTACGGCTACATAACGTCGTGGTGGGACGCGTCCACGCTGCTTGAGGGCGACTACCACCTCCGCATCCGCGCGCAGTGCCAGGCGTCCATCAACGAGATGCCCGATGGCATTGATGAGCAAGTGTCGTCCATTGCGCTTGGCGTTGTTGACCGCAGCCCGCCGGTCGTGTTTGGGTTCCCTGAGCCAGCGGATGGGGAGTTCTTCCCTGGCGACGAGATGTCGTTCCAGTTCAACGAGGACGTGGAGTGCCGGCAGCCGTTCATCTTCCAGGTGTCGCTGACGGTGGAGGACTACGACCGCGACTTCAACAACAACAACATGGTGATTGTGTGCGAGGGCCGCAAGATCTCCATGTCACTTCGCCGCAGGTTCCGCTACGACGAGGTCAACGGCCTCACTGCCACTGTTGTCATCGAGAACGTCAAGGACCTCAACGACAACTTGATGGAGTTCCCACCCGAGCACACGTTCCAGTTTGCGGAGCTGAACCTGGCCGATGCCAGCGTCACGCTGAACGGCCTGGTGCTGGCAGCGCCGTACCAGGACGTGTATGCCGACACCACGTCGCAGGAGTACGCAGACTTTGCTGGCGTGCTAAAGACGGAGCTGGCCACTATTGTGGACACGGACCCCTCACGCGTGACCATCACGGGCATCTCCCCCGTTGACGCGACCAACTTCGAGGCTGGCATCACCGTCTCGCTCCGTTTCACGCCTGAAGGAACAGACACAGCAGCTACTGGCCGTCGCCGTCGTGCCACCACTTCGACTGCCACGGATCTCGCCAGCCTGCTGCAGAGCCGGCTGCAGGATGCAGCGTACACGGAATCGCTCTCTGTCCTCAACACTGCCTCGCTGGACGAGGAAGCGACGGTCGACGTGGAGCCGTCCACCGCGGACTTGGCGCAGAACGACGCCGTCAGCGCTGACACCCAAACCTCCGGCGCAGGTGCTGCAGGTGCTTCCGACACATCGACATCTGCATCGACCGGCTCATCCGCTTCTGGGACCGATTCGTGGGCGAACATCAAGCTGGGTGAGTGAGTGTGCCGGCGTATGTGTGCGTGCTTATGTTGGCAATTTGGGTAGTTCATCGATTGTTGGAATTGGTCAGCGTGTTGCGTCTCCAACCCAAATGATGAACGTGTGTGTGTGTGTGCGTGTGCGCGCGTGTGGGTTTCCATCCCCTCTCCGTTTCGTTCTAACACCAGTTGCATTCATCTATGTTCTTCACGATTGTGATCCCAGATATCGCCATTGGAATGCTTGCAGTCGTGCTGTGCATGCTTGTGATTCTGCTTGTGAGGGGCCAGTCAAAGGCCGCTGCATCCTCACCAAAGCGGATGTCCAGCATGTTTCCTCTGCGGCTTTCACCCTTTGCCCGAACAAGCTCTCGCGTTTCTCCGTTTGCTGACACTGACACGTGCGAGACTTCCAACGCGTAAGTGGTGGGGAGCATATATATTCGTCCTGGCCAATGCTCAGTGATGGGCATGTTGACGTCGAACACATTGCATACAACCGAAATGGCGTTCTTGTGCGCCTTCATGATCGTTTTCTTTCTGCGCCGAATGTTGTCATTTCTATGTGGTTGGACGTGATGTGAATGTCAGCGCTTTCTTCTTGTGCTTCCTGATTGCATGGGCTGTGCGACATGCACGCGTGGTTTGTGTGCTCAGCGATGATAGATGGATGTCATGCATGCATCGCGTGTTTTAGTGGCTGTTGAGTGAGTCCATTCTGCTGTCTGGTCCGCGCGTTTGCGCATTTACATAGTGCGAATACACGAACTATTTGGGAGCGCCGAGGCAGCACCTGTGTAAGTTCTCGTGCTGGAGAGGGAGGGGACACGACTGCCTGGCGAAGGATGGGGCTGCCGCGCGCGGCAAAAAAAAGTCAACAGTCACGTTCGTGTTGTCATACGCTTGGCTTTTATTTTAAAAAGGGAGCAGGCAACTGCCACATCGTTATGCTGGCGCTGGCAAGCAACGAGTGCATCGTGGCTGCGTGGCTTTGGGATTCGTGTACTGTGAAACATCCTTCACCAGTCAATCAAGCGCAGCAGTAGACAACCACCATCAACAACAGACAGGACATGCGTCTATTCATGCGGGCGGTTCCCCACCCCATGTGTCTCAGCATTGTTGGCCTTGCATGTACTCCGCGCATGTCACATTTCATCACACCACAATCACACAAATCAAATAGTGAAATCGAACCCATCCCATGTATTGAGGCCCATGAGACATGGCAAGCCAAACACCACTCAACAAACGTAAGTAACGATGAAATCGCACGACCCAGCACCCTGCACAACCAAGTGATTCCAGTGTCATCACTCAGTTCATCCAAATCTCATGATCTCCGAGTGCTGTGACATGTTGCGTTTGCTTCGTGACAACACATCAGGCAAGCGTGGTATCGTGGGCCTCAAGATCCCACAGCGTGGGTGTCGACTGTCCCTTGACAACGAGGCGAATCAACTCTTTCGTGTCTGCAGATTCATACTGCACAAGATCGTGCGCCACAATCCATCTACATTCTGGCGGATCTGCGCCACGCAGCAGCCATGTGCATGAGATTACAGCAAAGGCATGTTTGCAGGTGTGAGAAACGCAACACGATTGCTGCAACTGCTGTGCATACAACATTTGTGTGTGTGTGTGTGTGTCATGCTCGTGGTGTGCGATGCGTGTGCGTTGTGGATGGATGCACATGCGCGCTTGTGGGCGGTGGGTGAGCGTACAAATTGCCGTGTTTGTGGTGACAGGTGGCAAGAGTTTGGCTTGGCAAGCGATCATGCAAGACAAACCGCTTGCACAAACCTCGCGCTTTCCCACGAATGGCGTTGTCCAGGTGCTCATCGATGGCCGTGTCAACAAAGTGCTCGGCGTGGAAGTAAAAGATGCGCCCCTCCACCCATGCGTTGTCCGTGTTGAGTGGATCATCCAAGTAGATGAACTTGTGACGTGCCTGTGCCTGGCTGGTTGTCATGGTGCGAACAACGGAGTGGAACATGGGGCTGGCTTCCGGGGAAGGCGATTCAGGTGTTGGACTCACGGGCGATGCTTGCCCTTCAGCAATTGTTGTCATGCAGAGGCCTTGTTGCATGAGCAATTTCTGGTTGTCTGCAATGCTCTGTCGCGACGCCAACGACGCCAGGCTGTCTGAAGAGCCGGGCTTCAGCACTGAGGATGCTGATGTGACATCAAGATGCGTAAACGTGTTGTGCTGATCGCTGTCGTGCGTGTCTGCGCCTGTTGTCGCGATTGTTGCATCCACATGCAAGTGTGAGTGATGCTGTGGCTGTGAGTGATGACGGTGCTGATGATGGCGTGGAAGGTGTTGATCTTGCTCTTCCTGGTGATACTGGTGTTGGTGCTGCTGGTGCTGGTGGTAGTTCTGCTCTTGTGAGATTGTTGACGACTGCGTGGATGCCAAGTCTGGCGATGAACCCGAAGCCACCCCTGAAATCACCCGCAGCACGCTCCCACCGCTTCGCTCCTCAACGGTTGCTGATGTGGAATGAACCCTCGCGGGCCTTGTGCGTGTGTATGTGTTTCGGTTGCGTGTGTGTGTGTGTGTGTGAATGTGCATGCGCGCGCGTGGGTACATGTGCGTGTGTGTTGTGGATGAGAGCGGTGGTAAAGTGAGTGAAAAAGTGTATGTGTGTGTGTGGGGGGGGGTATGCACGTGAACAAACAGAACGCATACGAAGCAGCACGCCAACAATGAGCGCACAGTGTGCACCACAGAAATATTCCACTCATCATTGCAAGCGTACATGAATGCGTCTGCCAGTGGATTTGCGTTGTCATGATACAAGTCGACGTCAACACCTCGCAGCTTCCACGTCGTGTCATCTGTGGTCATCCGGTACTTGCTCAAGATGACGTCGAGAGATTTGGCGCGGCCGAGGTGCTGTCCACGCAGTTCCCACAGCAGCTTGAACACCTGCTCACGAGGATCGTTGGCGTCCAAGTGCGATGTTCCACGCTGCACCGGCTTCTCCTCTCCATGTGTCTGTCATGTCATTTGACGTGTGGATCAGTTTGTGAGCGTGTTGTGTGTGGCCGGGAGCAAGCAATTGCACACACACACACACACGTGTGTGCATTTGAAGTAACTATGGACGAGCTGATTGTCACTGTGTGACAATGCCCAAGTTGAAACAAACAGACTCTGCTGGGGACCGCCTGAACGACCTCACCTCCTCGGCCTCATCAGCAACAACTTGGCGAGGAAGGCACCACTTGACTCTGCCATGGTCGTCAACTGCACGAGAACAATCGTGTGTGAGAATACAACCAATGGCAGTTGGCGTCAGCATGTTGCACAGCACGCACGGTGATGCTTTGCTTGAATGTATTTGTTGATTGATGTCACCAGCGAGCAAGGCTCAGCAAGGGACAACACCACTTCATTGTATCCTCCAAAGCATATGCAGAGGTACAAAACACGAATGGCGCCACACCACGCACCATGCCTGACGAGGAGGACCTCCATGACATGCTGTCCAAGCCGCTGCATTTTATTCCCAGTTGTTTCGCATCGCTTCCATCGCGTGAGCACAATCCGGTCTTCTCGATTCGGGCCTGTTGTGTTTGTGTGTGTGTGTGTTCATATGTGTGTGTGTGTGTGTGTTCATGTGTGTGTGTGTGTTCATGCGTTTGTGTGTTTGTAAGGGTGAGTGACAGTATGCGGGTGTTTGAGGGCGTGTAAGAGAGATTGGGGGATTGAGAAAGAGTTTATGTGTGTGTGTGCATGGACGACAGGCAGCAAGGAAGAGCATGTGTACGTCAGAATGTGTGAAAGAGTATGCCAGAGAGATTGAACGTGAAAGTGGATGTATGTGCCGGATACAATACTATCACGTCAGCATTGAAGGTGCACCACACACATGGCACATATGACGCATATAGCTAGAGCACGCCAATACCCACCCATCTTTGGGAAGCGACCGCAGCCCGCACGGCCAGTGCGACCACCCGGATTTCGGACGTGTGGGTCGGGTTGCAACTGCATGGGTGCATGGGCAAGTGAAAAAGCGTACAAGATAAGAAGCAAAGCATCCTGTATTTTGGGAGGAGATGTAACATAACATACATGCAGCCAACTTGCTTTCAGCGTATGCCGCAAGTATGTCATCATCAGCGACGCACGAGCACACGAAAACAATGTGCACACATATGATGCACACGGGTCAGTGTGCATGTGTCAGTACACACTGACCAGCACACACACACACACACACACACACACACACACACACACACACACCTGGACCTCAAGGTTGTACTGGCGGGCCAGCGCCAGCAAGTCATCTGCAATCCTGCTGTCGTGCCAGCTGGCTTCGGCCAAATTCTTGCTGACGTCAAACCCACCCTCCTTTCTCGCCTGTTGTGTGGCGTGTTTGGTGTTGGTGTGAACATGGGTCTGCCTTTTGAGCAGCATACACAGGATTATGGTTACACACACAGGATGCAAACGGTGACATTGTGTTCACGACACAATTGCACTTTCACAGGATACTGCAAATTGAACAACAAACGCCTTTGGTCTGTCTGACAGCACCTGCTCGCGACAGCACGCGTTGCGTTCAGAGTACATGACCTCGCCTGGATGCGTCACCGTGCGCATGCAAGGGCTCTGAAATGGAAAGCAGCACGGAGAAAACAGGAACAGTACACGCGTCAAGCAAGGAAAACGTGAGCGTGGTTGTTGTGGAGCAGGCATCAATGCCAGTCTAACCATCACCGCTGTCCGTGAGCAATTTCATATCACAGCACAGCAGTATGTGTTGCCACCGCGCAATCACACTGGTGGCGCGAAATGCGGGGCGCGTACCCCTGTGTTGAGCTCTTCTTGCCTATCCAGCAACGCAAAGACAGAGAGTGAGAGCAAGGCCAATGGAAGCAGGCCAGGAGCAGAGGGTTAAGGAAGAACATACGTGGGCATGAAGCACTGGCACATCACGTGGGCGGAAGCAGCAATTTCATCACGTCACGAGTGGGGACTTCCAGAGTGTACGCATACAATCACCCCAACACACACGTCAACGTACTGGCTTGCGCGTTCGTGCAGGGATGCTTCGATGCGGCCTGTTATTCAGGTTGAAGCAGGGCATGCGAAAGAGAGCATGTTTGACAGACAACAGCCCACATGAGAACGTGGTGCATGTAAGGCAACACAACACATGCGCCGGGGGGTTGGAAGCATCGTTGACAGGGCTGCTGTATTCGTGGTAAATGCACATGATTTGTGCTGGGTAACATGTATACGACGAGGACAGAAACTCTGCTCGTTTCTGTATCCTCCACTTGGATGCATGTCACGTCACATGCCATCTCAATTGCATGCCGTACCGAGGCGAAGGGATTGTGCCTCGAGCAAATCAAATGTTCGCAGCTGTGCCGACAGCGCGTTGCTGAGCTCATCCAACTCGTCATCCTCGTCGTTCTCCTTGGAGCGATGATGGTGGCTGAAGAAATGACGTGTGGGGGCACATATGTAAATCAAGCACGAGCACACACGCAATGCCGCAAAACTACATGTCAGCATGGCGCGCTGGTGAGAAGAACATCAAGTTTGGAGTGCGTGCTTCCATGGCAGTCCACGTACGACTCGCAAACACACACAAACAACACATGCAGCATGTCCAAACATGTAAGACACAGCCTACAAGTATCAGACTCACTCACTCACATACGCACTCACGCACACTCGAACTCACACACACTCACTCACGCACACACACACACACACACACACCAACCACACTTACATTTCTGTTTCCAGTTCTTGAAAGCGTTCGAGCTCCTTCGGGGGCACAATCGAGCGACTGGCGCTGTGACTGACGTGCGTGTTTCGTTGAAACCGCCGACGAAACAAGGTCCAAAACGCCAGCTCCAGCCACGACAGCGGTGTTGGCAAGTGCGTTCTGTTGCGAAATTCCCAGTACAGATCATAGTTTTGCCGGCGCCAGAATGCCATTGCATCTGCCTCCACTTCTTCATACCGCTTGCCAAACATGGCAATCAGCAGATTCACGAGCATGATGTTCGCTGTGTGCATGTGTATGCGTTTGTGTGCGCACGTGGGTATGAGTTGTGAGCATGCTTGCGTGCAAATGCGTGTCCTTCAATACCTCCCATGGAGCAATGTCGGATCAACAGAGAAACACGCACACGCACATACACTCACACACACGCACACACACTCACACACATGCACACACATGCACGCAAGCGCGACGGTAGGCAACGTACAGACGAAGATGAAAAGGGTCATGTAGATTGGCACGAGCCACCGCCACGACGCGCATGTGTGGAACGGTCCGTCACCCACACATGCCGACTCCTCCGAATACCACTCAAGGAATGACTCGCCAAACACCTGGAACACGGGGACTAGCATAATGTACGACAGCTAGCGAGTGGAGCAGCAGCCATCACAAACATGTATGTGCGTGCGTGCACATATGATGGAGGGAGATGGCTGAAATTCAACATACATGCCGGTAAACGACTGCTGAGCACAACAAACAACAACATCAACAACAACAACAACAACAACAACAACAACAACAACAACATCTTAAACAACAACAACAACAACAGCAGCAGCAGCAGCAGCAGCAGCAGCAGCAGCAATCCTAACACAGCATGTACAAAACGGTATGTCCCACGCCCTTCTCAAAGCGCTTACGTGATACGAGTCTGACTGCCGCTGGTTCTCGTCGCTGGAGAGGACGCTGATCATGGCAAACGCGTACGCCAGCCAAAACGCGCCCAGAAGGAGGATGAACACAACCACATCAGAGAACATGCGGCCCATGATGATGAGCTTTGGGCCGAGGGGGCGAATGAAGGCCGTGAAGCGGAGACATGAGATGTACGCAGCGGCGCAACCAAGACCAAGCAGGATCTTGGCAACGCGGCGGTCGTTCAGGTTAACGCCAGGTGACACCAGCGAAGAGATTCTGAAGCAGAGTGCCAGAAGATAGCACACGCACTGCACCGGCACAAAAAGCACACGTAATCACACACACACACACGCACGCACACACACACACACACACACAAACACATCCACACACGCGTATACGTGCGCATTCACGCAAGCATGGCGTGTCCAGCGTGAGTGGACTGTCTCAAACAGGCATGTGGCGGGATAGGCACTGGGCATAAAGACCTGAACGCATGCAAGACACAAAGTGACAACAGATCCTTGTCGCACGTACGAAGAGGAGGTCGACTTTGTTCCACAGCTCCGAGGACCATCGCCTGATGCCGAGACGCAGCGCTTGCATAACCTCAATCACCATGAGATCAAACATGAAGCAGGCAAGAGCAATCTCCATGTAGGAGAATGTCTCTTGCAGCGGCGTCAGGATCACATACGCATACACGCTGAGAAACGTGAAGAAGGACAAGGCGTGCACATAGAACTGTCGCAGGAAAAACAGGAGAGAGTGTAGTGAGAGTAAGAGGAAGTAAGTGAGAGTAAGTGAGTGAGTGGGTGGATGAGTGAGAGTGAGTGAGAGTGAGTCAGTGAGTGACAGGCGAAGATATACAAGGGCGAAACTGAGCGCTGTCAGAGGAATCCCATCAACCACAACCACCAGATTGTCCTTCATAACCCACAATCTTGCCACGACGATCCCACAAGTGTACATGTGCACTCACAAAATCACGCACATATGCACATGTACGCATAAGCATACAGAAAGACCACCACGTGCACAAGCACATGTACTTTGGCTCCAGCATTGAGCACGGGCGTTTCCTCATTTGGCCCTCGTCCATGCCAGGCTTGCTCCAACACAGCGTCAACGGCAGGGTGGGAGATGAACAGCGTGTTCTCCGCCTCCATCGCCAAGCTCACGCAGTTCACGAGTTGGCCCTGTCGAGCGTCAACCGCACCATCACGCATGGGCGATGCCTCATGAGTGAGCTTACTTGTTCGAGCACTGCACGCGCTGGCGTGGTGTCATGAGTGGCTGCTCACAACTGTAGTGACAACGCAAATGTACAAACGGAGAACACATGATCATACGCACAAAATCATATGCACAACTCATTTACTCACGCTCTCTGGGCCAAGAACGCTGTGTGTGAGTGGAAGCGCCTCGGAGCGGCTGCCAAACAGCTGCAGTTGTTCGCGCTGTTGCAATGCCGCAGCGGCTGTGGATGCTGTTGTTTGCGGTAGCATGGAGTTCTCGTCAAACATCACCAACTTGTCCGTTTTTAGCTGAAGGCAATCGTGTGCATATGGAGATGGAGCGCGACAGTGGAGTGAGATGCACGTGTACAAGCGCGCGCGTGTGTGTAGGGGTGGAGGCGTGGGAGGTGCCTACCACACCCGCGTCTTCTCAGGGATAGAGAATGTGTTGGTGCTGAGGTTACACGTTGTGTGCGTGTGTTGTGCTTGTTGTGAATATGGGTGCAATATGAGTGTTAGCATTCATTCAGTGTTTGTGTGTGTTTGATGCGAACAGAACTGCAAACAGACTCGGCGCTGCCCATGGCTGTGCTCGATACACTCACCAGCGGTGGAAGGGTGTTGAAGAGAGAAAAGGGGCACCACAACAGGGACATGGTTTTGCTCTGGTCTGACTTGTAGCACTACAGCGAGAAACCGTGAGAAGCAAAGAGCCACGAGACACACGCCATGAGTTGTGGTATGCATTGTACCTGGCTTTGGCGTTGCACCATCAGCTGTTAACAAGCAGTCACACACAAGCGCATCATTGCAATTGCTTGACAAGCGCAGAACACAAAGGGAGCTCACCTGATCCAAAATTTCAAACGCGTGTCGCTCAAACTTGTCCGCCATATCCAACATGCGTTTGCGGTCCTGCCGTAGGCAGTACACGAGTGCGTAAAAGTGTGTCAACGTACGCGTATGTGTACAGGCATTTCGTGTGTGAGAGTGTGCATGTGTATGCGTGCACACGGTGCGCGTGCCAGTGAACGTTGGTGTTCACGGTCTCCAAGTGTGTGAACATGCAAGTGTGCATGTGTGAATACAGATGACAATCGTCAGTCAACACATTGTTGTCATCATGGCAAGTGCTGACGCTTGCACATGCACGAGCTTGTCATCCAACAACAACACAAACCGCATGGAAGCGCAGGGATGACTCAAGTTTCTTCAGTCCAGCAAGGGACCGAAGCAGCTGGCACACGAACAGCGCGTTCTGGATGGAGTTGCCTGGTGTGAAATAAGTCGCAGCCGCAAGTTTAAGTGCAGCCCGAGTACAGCGACACAAAACCTCGCACATAAAACAAGCACATGCAATCGCACACACTCATCGCGTACAGCGACAACACAAGCACAACTTCAACACATGCAATGGCTCATAATCCTCACCCCCCTTTCACAAACTCATGCCCTGTAGCTCTTCACACGACGATCAAGCAGCTAGCATCAGCATGGGAGCGGGTGGTGTCAACACAACAAGCAAGCGCACCTCCTCGAACCCAAAACAGACGGGCGAGTTCATATCGCGTGGAGAGGGCAGCCCACACCAGCAGGTGGTGGTACACCTCTGCCTCGCTCAGCTTCTCCATATGGGCAGCCTTCTCGCCAGACACGCTCGTCTTGGACAGTTTGGTGATGAACGCGTCAAGGGTCTGGCCGTTGCGCGCGGTGTCCAGGTAGCGAAAGGTGGACAGCGGAAGGAACGCTTGTGTGTACAGCGGGGCGAAGCGGTCATAATACGTGTTGGCATGTTTGTTGTCTTCGGAGAAGAGAACCAGTGCTGCATACTCCACGATTCCCTTGCCAAGCTTCAACCATGCAATGTTGCACAGCACATGTTGCCACGCAGGTGTAAGTGGCAGATGGTCGATCAAGCTTTGGCAGAGCCGCAACTACAGCAAAGGGAACAACGTGACGCGGTGTGCATGTACTACAATTGCTCAGCCACTTGCACACACGCCACGGAGAGGAGGTTGTTTCTTACCTGCTGTGAGATGAGCTCGACAAAGAAGGCGATGTTGCGGCGCAGGGCCCAGCTCAGGGCGTGGTGGATATCGTTCTTGAACGATGTCTTCTGGTTTGCACTGCAATTCAGAGCAACGTCGGAGAATGCGATGTGGTGTGGAAGGTTGTGGTAGTGATAAGCCGCATGGTGGTGAGGAGGAACAACAACAACAACAACAACAACAACAACAACAACAACAACAACACCACCACCACCACCACCAACAACAACGACAACTTAAACAACAACAACAACTTAAACAACAACAACAACTTAAACAACAACAACAACTTAAACAACAACAACTTAAACAACAACAACAACAACAACTTAAACAACAACAACAGCCGTTACGTTGCTGTCTGAATGAACTTGACCAGCTCGGTGAAATGCCGCTCAGCAAGCGATTTGCGGCTGAACACAAGTGCAAGCTCAAGCTGCGCAAGCTTCAACTACACGCGCGCAAGTTTGCAATCATAATACATGCAAGTCCTATGAAAACACGTGGCTATATTGTGCTTGCGTGTTGATGCACAACAGAAACATGGTCAACCTGAACCCAAACGCGAACCCCAAAACAACCACAACTCGCCAGCAGCGCCAAATAACACATACGCACCTCGTAAGGGTCTGCTTGTGTGGAAGGGCTCGCTCGCTGCATGACGTTGCTGATGGCTTTGAGAATTGAACCGTGCAGCGTCATGCAGGGATTCTCGGCATCAAACACAACCACCTGAATAGGAAGGTGTGGGCCAGACAAGAGTTGACCACAAGACAAGCACGTATTGGCGCACGATGGCAACAAGACTGGAAGCAAACATGCAAGCATTGTGCATTCTGTGTTGTATGTTTGCGTGTACACAGGAACGAACGTGCATGTGCACTGTTACTCTATGACAGCACTAGCCCTTTGTCCACAACCCCTCCCCCTTCGCATGGTCACCACCCAACACGTGTGCGTACCTGATGCTCGAGTGCAACAAGCTCCATAATGTCAGCGTACATCTCCCGCGGGTGCTGCTTGCTGTGCGACGTTGCAGCAAACTCCTTGATCATGTTGCAGAGGCGGCCCCACGTGCAGGCAATGGCAGCCGCACTCTGGTCATGCAGGAACTTCCATGCATACGAGAGAATGCTGGAGAATCGCCCAGTGCCGTCAACCACCTGATTCAAGCGTGCACAAAAACATGTAGGGTTTTGCAAGCAAGGGGCGCAATGAGCTGCTGGGATGCTGCACATGCGTTATTGCAAGGCGAGGGTGCTGGGGGCACGTTTTTCGCTGCCACAAGTGTACATCAACACACGCACTTATGGAAATGCAAAGACACACACAATGCAGCAGTCACACACACACACACGCAAGCAATTCGCACCACAATCGGAGTTCGGAGCGCAATGGCGTGGCGCGTGAGCTTCCACGTCATTGGCCCGCCCTCCACCACCAACATCACAGAGAAGGTGCGATCCGAAGCCTTGAACGTGTCAAAGATGGTGTCAAAACCTGGATGACACAGCGAACAAACAGGTGCATGTGTACGTGAGCGTGTGTGCGCGCGCGCGAGAAACAAAGGGTTGAATAATGTGAGGAAAGTCGGGACACACTGGGCATTGCACTGCGCACAATGTGAAGCTCCACTTTAGCGGAGCTTTCGGCTTCAACTCAGCTTTAAAGCCATGCAATGACATGGCTTCGCTAAAACGCCAATGCCAGTGAGACCACAGTCACGTTTGAAGATGGCGATGTGGTGCCATGGACAAACGCATCGTAGTGTTTGTTGCGCAAGCACGTACTTGAGTAGACCTTGGGATGCTTCCCTCGCCGCGCTCGCTGGTTGCGGTGGCGCTGCAGACCGTGGCGTTGGTGGTGCGTTAAGCGCTGCTGTGCCGGCTTACGCAGCAGCAGCTGCCACTTTGTCTGCGTTGAGGGCACGAAGACCTGCAAGCTTGAAGGCTTGAATTCTCCCTTGAGCGCACTGGTGAGGTCGTTCCAGTACTCCAGCTCGCCCCCGCTGCAGCGATTCCATGTGTGATGTGATGTGATGTGATGTGTGTGTGTGGGGGGGGGGTATAAGCGCGCGATGTGTGTGATATGTGTGCATGATGTGTGCGAGATACATATGTGTGTGTGCGATATGTAATAAGGGTGTGAGGGGTGCATGCAAGATGGCAAGATGCTTGAGTGAACTCTTGGTCGCAAGCATTCGAGCAACAGCGTGCTGGACATGCAGCACGTATGTGTATAATCCACGATACACATCACGTGGACACAGACGAGAAGCTTCCCATTCTCGCAACCCCCGCACCCATTCCCATTGCAGGTCGCGATCCCCATGTCACCACACGCACGACCATGCCAGCTGTACACAACAGCTACGCAACAGCACACACACACACACCCGAATAGCCTCACTGTTTTGTTACCGCTTGAGTCTATTGAAGCGATCGCGATAGAACAGCGCTTCCTCCCCCGCGTCCTTCTCCAAGTCCACGCTCTCGTTGTCGCTGTCATCGTCGTCATCACCAAAGACAGCGGCGGAGCTGGGTCGTGCACTCCTGCGTCCAAATCCGCTTTGGCTGAGCCCGAACATGGACGGTCTGTGGATGTTGTTGTTGCGAGCGGCAGAGGCCGTCTGCTGCTTTGCCCTGGCCTTTGTGCCCCGCCGCCAGCGCTGTAGCAGCACGCTGCCCATGGGCACCAGCGTCTTCAGCGGTGGAAACGTGAAACATTTGTCTGGTGTTTGTAATCACGCACATACATGCAGGTAAGCGAAGTGCGAACACATGGTCTACTGTGAAGGATTGTGCCTGTTGTCCATCAGTCACACTCGTTCAAAGACAACGCACAAGACAACACAACACAGGCAGACACCCGCACACAAACATGCAGACCTACACACATACAAGCATGCACCCACCAATGATCATAAACCACAACAGTTTGGTGCCACTGCAGCTCACCTGAGAGGACGACGCTCGTGTCGACGATTAAACCAGACAGAGATGCGCGCAGCACCTGTACACGTGTCGAACACACAAAACAACCATCATTGCAGTCGTGAGTGCATCACCAAGTTGAAGCAAGGGCAAGCAAATTGCCCCTCTTCCTGCAAGACAGCAATTCTAAACATACGCACACGCATAAGAAACAAAACAACGCACAGATGCACACATATACTCTCACACACACACATGCACAAGAGACCAAAAACACGCACGTCTACGCACAAACACACGTACACACAAGCAAGTATGCAAACGCAAAACGCGCGCACATAAACACATATGCAAATGCAAACACCCATATACGCACGCACACATACACGCACCCACGTACACACACACGCACACACACACACACTCACACACACACACACACAAACACAAACACAAACACTACCACCACCACTGACCTCAACGTCAGTGAGGAGGGTGTGCAGCCTGTTAAACGCGAAGACGTTCATGGTGCAGAGCAAGACACCATCGCGAAACCTGCCCCGCTTCTTTTCCCGCGAGAACATACGCGGGCTGTCCTGCAAACCAGCCGTCCTGACCACACAGGGCGAGATGTTTTCCACGTCGTGGTGGTCCGTGATCACGCCCTGTGCCAGCGCATGTGCAATCATGCGACCGCGCGCGCACGTGCGGTGGTATCCACCAGTTGGGTGCGGTGGTACCTCAACCTGCACCGTGTTCTCCATGTCCATGCGCGCCATCAACGAGTACACATACTGCGAGCACTTTCCCCACGTGTCCTCCCAGGCGGACTGGCGCAGCGTCGACTGTGGGTTGCATGAGTACAGCCATGGCCGCGCCTCGCCGTCGCCAGACACGTGCTGCTCGCCGGTGACCGTGCCAAGCTGCACCACCACACGCTCGTCCGTTGCGCCTGGCGGTGTGAGCAGGTCCAGCAGGCGATACAGGCGCCACAGCGAGCTGGAGAAGACAGCATCGACCCCGCCACCCGGTCGCCCCGTCAACGTGCTGCGCCGTGATTCCGGCTGGCTGTCACCACCACCGCCGCCGCCGTTGGAGAAGCGCTCCGATGCCTGTCTGCTCACGTGCTGCCTTCGCTCGGCCTCCAGCTGCAGAAGACCACCGCGGCCCATGACAAAGTGCAGCACGATCGTCACGCGGGCCTTGCTGCTGGGCGTGTTCTTCGTCAGCTTCGTGATCCAGGCGTGCGTGTACTTGATGAGGTAGTATGCTGCGCGCACCCCCATGTGCTCGGATTCATTCTCGCTGTCGCCAACAACAAAGTGAATGGCCCCGTCCTGGTCCATACGCTGCGCTACGAAATCCGCCCACGCTTGCAGCCGCTCTTCCTCAAACGCATCGTTCCCGCCACCGCTACCACTGGCGCTCGCGCTGTTGCCATGCGACCTGGACAGCATGGCTGATTCGGCGTTTTCCTCCTTCAGCAGCTTGCGCAGGCCGTACAACACAGAGTCTGTCAGGTAGTGGAACTTGTTTTCGGGCGCCACGCCGCGCGTGTATGTGTGCCAGGCGCTGTTGTCGCCAGAGCCAACACGCTCTAGATACGGGTTGTTCACCAGAATGTAAAACGAGTGGTTGTCGTCCAGCGAGCTGTTGTGGTGGTGTCGTGTGTGGGTATGTGGTGGGTGCATGTGTGCATTCGTGAGAGAGTGAGAGAGTGAGATTGTGTGTGTGTATGTGTGTGTGTCTCAGGATGCCTTGGCGTGGTGTGACTTCCACTGACACGCATGAGTGATATTCTTGGGGTTGATGTGCGCACCCAAACAAGACGCAACTCTCAAAACCAGCAGCAACAAACGCACACACACACACACGTGGAGGATCGCTGTCCTCCTGCCATCAACGCATGCATACACCCTCACGTACTCGTACGTGCACACAAAGACACACACCATATAAACACACATGTGCACACATACGTACACGCACACAGTTTGTCCCGCACGCAGCATACGCACCTGGTTGTGGTTGAGGCATAGTCGTCAAAGATTATGTTCTCAAGTGTGCTATTGCCCACCTTCTTTGCTTCGAAATCGACGTGCTGTGCATGCACAATTCCAATCACGCGCACATACCGTGACTCCTCCAGGAACGAGTTCAGGCTCTTCTCCAGCACATCTTCGCTCTGCGATCCCATCGAACCCACGCTTTGTTGTTGTTGCTGTTGCTGTTGTTGCTGATGCTGTTGTTGCTGCTGTCGCCCCTGTGCTTGCCGCTGCTGTCGCTGCCGCGGGTTCCTTGAGTGTCTTGCAGCTGATTCCTCGCGCGCGCGACGGCGGCGACGAGCAGGCGTGCGCTTGAGCCTGCGCCGCTTGCCCGCACCCCGCTGGTCACCATCACCACTGCCGCCACCTGTGTGAGCTGCCGTGAGCGCCGCAGATGACGACGCCGACGTTGGGGCGGAAGAGCGTGATCGCTCGCTGGACGGGGCGTGGTGGCGCCGTGGGCGGTCCTTCACCACCTGCTCGTACTCGCGCGTGAGACGCAGGTCTGACGGCTGCTTGCGCCCGAGAAGCTCGCCCACCACCTTCATCACGCCGCAGTTGCAGCCGCCTGTGAAGATCCACGTGGAGGTGACGTTGCTGCAGCGGTGCAGGCCCTGACTCAGCACAGACCGCATCTTGTGCGCCAGAATGAGGTCTTTGGCACCGCCCGTCACGCTCACCACGAGCCGCGGCCGCGAAAATCCGAGCGGCTTGCACGGAATGTCCTCAAGCACCTCCCCTTCGTCCTCGCTGGAGGAGCTGTCGTCAAACAGTACCCACCGCCGCGATGTGCTGCCGCCCGCAGTGCTCACCCCCGATGACGTCGCTGCCGCGGATGATGATGATGATGCAGTCGCCGCAGCCGTTGGCCGGGTCATGCGCCAGTGACCGGACAAGTTGGCGGAGTTCTCGTCCAGTGCAGTCAGGCTGTTGGGTGCGGTGCCCTTTTCCTTCTTGCTGTGGCGCTTGCGGGATTGCCGCCGCACGAGGTCCTCCTTCATCTGCTTCTTGTCCAGCATCCAGCGCAGCAGCCGTTCCGGGTTCGCGCCCGTTTGCACCTCCACAAACCCGCACTGGCGGTCGTGTGTGCTGATGTGTCCAAACGCGGTGCAGTCCGCCTCCACCTGCGCCCGCATCCACGCCAGCACGGCCGTGTCGCCTTGCAGGGACGTGAACACGCTCAGGCCAGCGTGCTGCTGCGGCCGCCGCTGCCCACGAAGACTACCGACCACGCTCGGGGAAACAGGGACGGGCTTGTGTTCTGTGAGACGCCGCTTTACGGTCGGGAAGTGCGTGACGCGGGTTGGTGCTCGCTTCGCAGCCGGCGTTGATGCTGGAGTTGACGTTGTCGACGACTTGAATCGCACACTGGAGAAGGACGAGGACGCTGCCCCTGTTGCACCTGCTGTGCTCGAGAGCGCTGCAGCTGCCCTTCTCACGGCATTTCTCATTGGCGTGCGATGTACTTCTGGTGAGGAGTTGCCGTTCATCCAGCGGTCATCATCATCTTGCTCGTCCTCCCCGTCACTGTCACTATAATCAAGTTCGTCTTCATCGGAGCCGAGTTGAAGCTCTTCATCGTCATCATCGTCATCCTCGTCGTCGTCGTACTGGTCGTCATACTCGATGTCATCGTCGTCGTCACCATACTCAACGTCGTCATCGTCGTACTGGTCATCGCGCACTTCGTGCTCTCTGTCACCATCATCAGCAGCATCGTCATCATCAATCTCACCGCCAGCGTCGGTGATTGCATCGTTAATGATGCGGGTGGCGGGCTGCTCTGCCTCAGATTCACTTCGTGTTTGCTCGTCATTGTCGCCGTTGTTCTGCAGCAAGTCTGCGCTGGTTCGTGTTTCGTTTGCGTTCCGCGCCCTGTTTCTAACGCTGTCGAACACATCGTCCACGTCAAGCACAATGCTGCGTTGCGAGGCGTGCGATGGGGCCTCGGATGCAGGTCGAGTGGAGCGTGCACTCCCTTGCAGATCTGTCGAGTTGCCGCCAGCATCAGCGTCACCACCTGCAGTCGCGTGGTTGTCTTCGCCTGTGCAACCACCAACGTCTTCGTCGGTGCCTTCTGCGCCTGCGTTCGGTTGCACTCCCGTCCCACTGAGTGCTGCCGATGGTGGTGATACTGTTGGTGAAGCGTTGCTGGTAGTGGTGGTGGTGACATCGATGGCCAGTTGTGCTGCCTCAGTTGAGGACGCCCCTGGAGCTACGTCCAGATGTAGCACAACCTCCGTGGTGGTTGTAGTCGTTCGTGGTGCTGAACCTGACTGTGGGATTGTGTCCACTGCCTCTGGTGGTGCTGGTACTGCCACGTCCCGACCGCCACCGACGCCCGATGCTTGTTGTTGCTGTTGCTGTTGTTGTTGTTGTTGTTGTTGTTGTTGTTGTTGTTGTTGTTGTTGTTGCTGTTGCTGTTGCTGTTGTTGTTGTTGTTGTTGTTGTTGTTGTTGTTGTTGTTGTTGTTGTTGTTGTTGTTGTTGTTGTGTGTCATGCTTGGCGGAGCTGACGACGTCGTCGCTCGCCTCGAGGTGTTCTGGTGCAGCTAGGCCGGGCGGCAGGGGTGCATTGCCATACACGGCACTGCCGCTGCCGGCGCGGCTCAAACGGCCTGTGTGATCGGGGCTTGTGTGCTGCCATGAGCCGTCCTCGCCACCTTCGCTGGCATCACGGGTGTTGTTGCTGCCATCCGAAGGCACGGAAAAGTCAATTTCCCTTCCCCAACAGTCGTGACAACGACGGAAAGGAGTGTGTGTGTGTGGTGGGGAGGGGAGGGGACGGGAAAGGGAGTGCACGCACAGCATGACGAAAACCAAGCCATGACGTGGTTCTGTGAGAACTTTGCGCAGTGAAACATCAATGCAGTGCAACTTCCAGGTGCTACAGGCATATGCCACCCAACACAAGCACACCTGCGCACACAATAGAGCTGGCAAGCAACCCAAGCTGAGTGGCAATTGGATAGTTGTTGCTAGAAGCCGTAGATCGGCTGTGATTGGGGGGCGAGACTGCACGTACCTGTGTTGTGATTCGATCTGCGAACTGCCAGTTGGGCTGCTGGGCCTGCTGTGGATGCGGCGATTTATCACGAGGACCCGCTCGCTTCATGCTGGCGGTGTTGTGGTGCGTCGAGGACAGCGCGCGGCGTGCGACCGCAAGAGACTCACACACCACAACACACTAACAAAGCACCTTGCCACACCTTCTCCTTTCTTGCTTGCGCTGTGCACGGACTTTGTGATTGCCCGCTCCCCTCAACCAAAACACAAGAAACTTTGGGAAAACACCCGTCGACTTTCGACCGACTATGAAACGGGGTGCTGGCGATGATGTCATCAGGAGAGCGAAACTGCAAATGCGAGCACGAAGGAAGCACAATTCAACCATCAATGCACACAGCACACACGCACACACACACACACGCTCACACACACGCTCACACACGCTCACACGCTCAAACTCTCTCTGTCACTCCCGAAATATCCATTTCCCATGTGAGAAAGCTCGGCAAGGCTTCGTTTAATACACAGAGAAACTCACGTTGGTGGTTAGGGTCAACCCAAATGCATTCGCGTATGTATTAGGGGTTGGCACTGCGTGGCTTGTGGGGAGGTGGCTTGCGCGGAACTGGCCTGCGCAACATACTGTCGCGCCGCTCAAACACTGCATCTGCTCCAACCTGTGTTGAGACCATGTGTGAGTGAGTGAGTGAGTGAGTGAGTGAGTGAGTGAGTGAGTGAGTGAGTGAGTGAGTGAGTGAGTGAGTGAGTGAGTGAGTGAGTGAGTGTGTGAGTG